TGACGTCCTCTGGCGATGAGGACTGGGTGGTTAATGACCATGTGCGTAGACTTTGGTCGCAACTCTTGTGCTGAGCCCCCTGAAAGCGGGGTTGTGGGACTCTCCTCAGGGTCGACAGGTAAAGCACTTGAGCTCACCCATCGCCCCCTCCAGAGGGCTCACCCTTTCCCCAGGGTGGGGCCCTCATCTTACTTCACTGGGCGCCCTTGTGAAAACACTCAGGGTGGGTTTCTCACTCCTCCTCTGCTTCTCCCTAATGCACCTCTTCTTCCTAAGTTCCACACAGAAAATCAAGTGTGAATCATTTGTACATGAAATCGGATGACGAAAACAATACCTGAAAATCTTGTGAAGGCGCCAAGTTAAGGACAGCGCTCATCCCATCACACGGTTCAGGGATTAAATCTTTCCTGCCCCTGCTGACCACTGAGAAACTGAATAAAGGTGGGTTTCACTGCTTGCCCGACCTAGTGCCATGAAGACAGAACCCGCGGTTCAGATTCTCCAAACGTAAACCCCGTGGTTCTGATGTTTGTGGGCCTCAGCCCAAAGGCCACCACCCTAGGCACCCTTGCCAAAGCTCCACAGGTGGATCTGAGCATTTGCATCCTTGCAGACAGGTCATTCCTCCATGCCTTCCACCTGGCCTGTGTTCTCCAAGCATGCTGTCCTCCCGTAGCACACACCACATGTCATCTGGAACTGGGTCTTCCTTCCTCACCAGACGTAAGCACTCTAAGACTGAGACTGCATCTGCTTTCCACCTGCAGCATCTGGCATGATACTTGGTTAATCAGAGGGAATCAGCAAGTATTAGGGGAACGAGGGAGCAGGCAAATCCCCAGGTGCACAGGCAAGCACAGGGCTCAGCACACAGCAGCGAGCTCCCCACCAGCGTCAGCCATCATCGTTCTCAGCCTCCCTGGTCACTACTCTGTGCTCTGATCCTCCCCATGCCCCTCAATTCTACCTCTTCCCCTCCCTCCCGACTCCTCTCTCTCTTCCATGTCTCCCTTTGCACGCAGGCCCCCATCCGACAGTAAACTCTCGGAAACCCTCATCACTTCCCTAAATGCTGCTTCTACTTTCTTGCCTCCCCACCCATGACACTGCACTCTGCAGCCCTCGCTAATCCAGGCACCTGTTCTCCTGTGCGTGTAGTGATTAGGTTGAAGACTCCCTGCTGTCCAATGCTATTTCCAATTCATTCCTTCTCCTGGTACAAAAACTGCTCTTCCTTTTGAATGTCATACCTCCTAGCTCCACCTGCTCATTGCTATCACCCAGTGGCTGAATCTCCTGGTCCATCTGCCACGTTCACCAGAGATGCTGCCCGTCTCCTGACGACAGACTCTGACAGGGCAAATTTGAGATCTCAACAGCCCAGCAGACACTCTAACCTCACATTTTTATTTCTCTCTTGCAAAGGGGACCATTCCTTTCTTTCACTCCTCACACTGATGATCATGCATTGGACTTAACCACCACCTATACTGTCCAGTATAAAAAAA